TTTTCAATCAACAAATCTTTCATGTTGAACACATCGTTTATGGTCCCTTTGAGCTTATACTTCCACTTCTTGTAGCTCACACCGCAAAGCACAGCACGTTTGTCACCCAATCCCCCAACTTTATCCAAAGCGCAAGTTTTAGGGTAACGGACCGACAATGGCGCGGGAGCCGATTGCGGTCGCAGGGGGTTACACAACAGGATTCTGAACAACAAGTTGCGTATCAATGAGAGAACTAAACTGCCTTGGTCTCCAGCGGAAGGCGTTGACGTTCCTTAGCAGCCGATTGTGGTTGTCCGCAAAGAAATGTGGGCAAATAATTGTCTCGGCTGCGGTCGAGGCTGAAATCTTCTGACGGCAACGATGGCAAACAAGTCTGTTTTCCGATATCAACCTTAGGAGCAATGTGTGTTTCATTGGAAATGAAGTTATGATTTGATGCTTAAATGGAACATTCAACAGAGACGAAAGGTGCCTGGGCTGGGGGCATTCCTTGCTTCCAAAATTGTCTTCTTATTATGCCTTCATTTATAATATTATTCTTTCCACAACTTTATAACTGTAATCTTCATCATAATCAACATGATTCTATCGTCTTCTGTTTTACAGAGTATTTTGCAAGTTTGATTTTGATACGCCCACACATATGTACTATATATATTTATATTGTCATACATAACAATTTAGTTTTTAATATGTATATTTCTTTTTATCAAATTAACAATTATTATCATTTAATTAAATTTAGTTTCAAACTTTCAAAAACAACCTTTTTTCAGATAAATATCGAAAAACATCAAAATTTTAACCGTTTTGAGATGTTAGATTATGACACTAGTTTTCTTATATGACATGTCAAAAAATAATTTGAAATTATAAAAGTATTTAAAAAATAACTAAAAATTTCATAAATATTTTTTGGGTAAAGTATAGTAATGGTCACTGAACTTTTCTGACACTTGCATTTAGGTCCCTCAACTTTTAAAACTTGCAATGCAGTCCTCCAATATTTAGTCCGTTTGCAATATGGTCCCCGACGTAACCGGCCGTTTGACGTTTTTACACTGCCATTAGAAGAAGATGACATAGGAGTCCTCCAACATTTAATACGTTTGCAAGATGGTCAATGAACTTTTCAGTCGCTTGCATTTAGGTCCCCCAACTTTTAAAACTTACAACACAATCCTCAATTTCATTCTAAACCAAATTTCAAAGTAATTCAATTACATTTTAAACCCTAAATTCTAAAATACATCAATTTAGGGTTTAGAATGTAATTAAGGTATTTTGGAATTTGGGGTTTAGAATGTAATTAAAGTGTTTTGGAATTTTAAACATGAATTTGCTATTTGATAATGTTTATTTCAATATAAATTTGAGGTTTGTTGCATGCACATCCAACGATTGTCGCACTTTGAACATGAAAAGTGCACCTATCACGCTTATTGCATAAACCGTTGAAGTAAAAGTAACAAGACCAATTTGTCTTGTTCGCAGCTGCCACACTTTAGTATGAAAATCCAGTAGGTTTGGATGGAACTTGAGCATGCACATCCAACGGCTGCGAAAATAGTAAATAATTTTCGTTCATAGGACTACAACATACATCAAAGCAATAACTAAACTAAACCAAGAATATCTATTAATAACTCATTCGAAAGGAGGACTTAATGAACAAAGGGAAAGAGGTTCGGTCATAGTTACTCCAAAAGCTAAGGTGTCAAATGGGTTGTTTAAGATAGACATTAGATGCCAAATACAACATTACCAGTTGCAAATGCATTAATGGCCTACCCTTTTAACATATAATTGCTTCTAATGCTCCATTTTTAATGTTCCTCAATAGCCAAACATGATGAGAATCTAAAGTAGATAGCGAAACTAAAATCATAGGACCCCATAATTCTTGTAAATTCATGACATGTCAGTAATAAAAGACATTGTAAAACATAGAGGACACTACAACAAAATTATATATGCCAAAAATGAAGGTGCAAATGTGCAATGACCGGGCAATATATCAAGTATTTGCTCCAAATATACTACCCTGTCATGATGTCTTTCAAGTCGCATGCATGCATAATTGTCTTCTAAAGCTATAATTCAATACAGATTCAACTGTAAAATTTCCAAAACATGTAAAAAATCCGATATATCAATCCCATAATCAACATGAACTTATTAAAAAAGAATACGAGTCACAGGACGCCAAAAACCACAGGTCGAATCAATACAATTCCCAACAAACTAGTACCAGCAGTCTCTCGGATTGAGTCTGGTGGTTTCACTATATCGATACTCACAATCAATTCCTTGATTTAAAGAAAACCTAAACAAGAAGATAAAAAAATTAACCTAGGACCCTCTTTCATTATATCGATACTTCAATATAAATTTGAGGTATGTTGGACTGAACATTTTTCATAAGGAGTACTAAAAGTTTTGATTAAAAAGAAAGAAAGAAAATTAGATGGTTTTGGTTCAAAACTAACACTGAATATCCAGATCCTTGACATTCAGTTCCAGAAACATAAAAATTTCAACAAGAAACACACAATTCTTCCTCCATTTTTTCTTTGTAAATAAAAGCTGAAAGACATAGCATTGTTTGGGTTTACACTTTTACATGGCAGAAAACTGAATAAAAAACCAAACGATAGTGCATATGAGCGAAAGAGACGGAGATGTGAAGGTCCTATTTGGGATTTCATTATATTTGATCATCTGTTGGAAAATCTTTAACCACAATGATTAAATGAATAAATTATTATATGCCATTTATACAAAATAATTTCAGTTTTGTTGGTAACTTTCAACAATGATACTTAGTTCATCTTAGTAGTATTTGTCAACTCTGTATTTCTAACCTCATTTTTTTTCTCACAAGCATTTCATCAAACATCTATGCTTCACCTGAGATGACATGTATCTAACATTACACCTTGAATCGTTGATGGTCTCGATAGTCCCTTAGTCGGGTCTTCTCTCAATGGACCCTTATTCAAGTCAACACCTCAACAAAATTCAAAGTTAGATTAGAATCTCTCATGCATCCCCGGTTGAAAAGTTGCGTTAGAAATGAGAATAGATAAGCGAAAAAGGAAATTCGAGATTGAAAAAGAATTTGGGGTTTAAAATGAAATTAAGGATTGCGTTGCAAGTTTTAAAAGTTGGGAGACCTAAATGCAAGTGCTGAAAAATTCAGTGACCATATTGCAAATGGACTAAATGTTGGAGGACTACCATGTCATCTTCTTCTAATGGTAGTGTAACGACGTCAAACGGCCGGTTACGTAGGGGACCATATTACAAATGGACTAAATGTTGGAGGACTATATTATAAATTTTAAAAGTTGAGAGAGTCCAGTGACCATTATTATACTTTACCCTAAAAAATATTTTAGATACTTGAATGAAAAAATATACTTTAGTCACTCATTTATAATATAAGGCTTTTTTATATTGTTTTTCGAGAATCAGTGGTGCTGATGGCCCTATATAATTGTTCATTGGTATCCACCATGTTTCAGCAAATAGTTTTGTGTACTGTCCCACTTATAAATTTGCCTTATATAGTATACGCCAGGTCTCGGCTTCTATTTACAACTTTGCCACTATCTTCCTCTTTTGTGTCGTCCTCTCTTTGTTACCTTTGCGAGCTCGTTCAAGAGCAGCCACTGGTACTGACCAAGAAAATGAATTCCAGTTTGGTGTAAAAAGGAAAGGAAAATGAATATACATATATATATATGGAAATATTAAAGAAGTTGTTGAAAACATTTTTTTTGATATTTCGATATAACAAATTAAGTTAAATGAATTTTAAGATTTTACAAATGATTTTACAAATTATATTCGATTAAATTAATCGAATATCAAATTATTACTCTAAGTTTTTCAAGATCAATTTTAATCCTTACTAAATGTGTAAAAATTGTGATTTGTACTTAAACTATTTTTGAAACAATTTTCACAAAGTATTTTGAACCAAAATCAAGCCTTAAATCAGTTTTTCAAAGGCATGCACCGATGCATTCTCCATGCATCGATGCATCGGGCTATTTTTCAAACATCGAATGCATTTCATGCATCGATGCATCCTTAGTGCACCGATGCACTAAGTGTCCCAACGGTCAAAATATTTGAATTTTACACGAATGCACCGATGCATCCTTGATCATGCATCGATGCATGAGACGCTCCACCTAGAAAAATTAATTGCTTTCACACTTAAACGGCTATATGATCTTCACTAATCATCCCCAACGTTCAGAAGTGATTCAAGGTGTATTTAAACAAGTTCTGAAGCCCTTGATCAACAAGAAATCATAGAGAAACAAGAGAGAAAGCATCAAACACCAAGTTTGTGCAAATCAAGCCAATTTTCCTTTCAATATTTATTTTGCTTTCAAGAACACCATTTGTGCTCATTTGTAATTATCTTTGAGTGTTCTTTTCTTGTTCTAGAATTGTGAAAATATCTTACCTTGTGAGGTTTTCCTTGTAAGTTTGCAAATTTGTAATCTTCTCTTTGGGAAAAGAGTGTTCTCAATAATTGGGGTATATTCTTGAGGGTATTGTAAGGTTATCTCTTTGGCCTCAAAAGAAAGAACAAATTAGTGAATTTGTTGGAAAATCCTTAGTGTGGATAGCTAAGGTAGTGGACGTAGACTTTGATTGAGAAAGTCGAACCACTCTAAATCTCTGTGCAAATTTTTTCAATTTTTTGCAAAAGCTTCCACCGAATTTTTAATTGCCAATTCACCCCCCTCTTGGCTAATTCCGTTGATCGATTAACTTAACAATTGGTATCAGAGCCTAACTCATTTGAAGGTTTAATCGCCTCTTGAGTCGATTCGGGAAGAGTTATATTGATTATCAAAGTCATCAATGGCCTCCGCTTCAACTTCGACTCCGGTCTCGATTCGATGCCCGTCAACAAGCCTCCTTTCTTCAATGGAGCTAACTATGCCTATTGGAAGAATAGAATGATGTAATTCATTCAAGCAAGTGACATGGGAGCATGGAATGCTGTAGAAGAAGGATACATCAAACCTCTTACTCATCCAAGGTTGTGATGTGAAGGAGAGACAAGAATGTTCCAGCTCAACTCCAAAGCCATCCATATCATTTTTTGTGCTCTTGGACCAGATGAATACGAAAGAGTTTCATCGTGTACAACCGCCAAAGAAATATGGGACAAACTTCAATTTATCTCATGAAGGTACCGATGAGGTAAAGAAATCTAAAATTAGTATTCTAACGCATAGCTATGAAAATTTCAGGATGAAACCAAATGAAGATATCAAAGCTATGACGGATAGATTTTCAACGATTGTCAATGGTCTCAAATCATATGGAGAGATCATTTCAAATGAAAAGCTTGTGAGGAAGTTAGTCTACTCCCTCCCAAAATCGTGGCAATCAAAGAAGACGGCAATCATCGAGTCTAAGGACTTAACGTCCTTAACTCTTGAAGAGCTAATTGGGTCACTCCTCACTCATGAAATGATGCTCGAAGATGAGGTAGACCTCGACAAAATTGACGAGACACCAAAGGAGAAGGAGAAGAGAAAAACATTGGAGTTGCTCTCAAATCCACAAAAGATGAGAGTGATTCGAATAACGATGACGATGACGAGGAAATGGCATTGTTTGCCAAACGGTTCAGAAAAATGATGAGACCTTATCGAGGAAGAAAATTCAAATGAAATGAAGGCCTCAAAAATGAACCGAAAGAGAAGGACCCAATCATTTGCTACGAATGCAAAAAGCTAGGGCATGTTAAATATGATTGCCCACAATTAAAGAAAAAGGGTCAATCAAAGAATAAGCACAAGGCTCATGTGGCTACATGGAGCGATGAAGAAAGTTTCGATGAAGAGGAACAAGAAGTAGCTAACTTGTGCTTGATGGCATTTGGGGAAGATTCTAAGGTAACCTCTAACTCATCCGATTTTGATGATTTATCCTATGATGAGTTATTAGAGGAATATAATGGGTTGGCTTCGGATTATGAGAATTATTTTTAAAATATAAAAATGATGTTTCAAAATTGAAAAATGAAAACAAACTCATATCCAAAACCAACAACGATCTTGAAAGTAAAATCAAAGACTTGCAAATCAAACTAGAAGAGTTTGAAAAGA